GTCGGCTGTACATTGGTGATATGAAAACGCATCAGTAACTTGGCGTTATAAAACGTATTGTCATGTATTGTTTGATGAGTAAAAGATACAAGCATATGAGTCAATGTTTATTCGTTCCTTTTGCCCTAACGGGAAAAGCGATATCTGTGGGCCCCTCGATGATTTGGTGTTGACTTATATGCTGGGCCCAGCCAGGACTAAATTGATGTGTTCGATTAGAAGTCATATATCATCACAAATCAGAAATTGGGAAACATAGATTCTGGAAAAAGAGATTGATTACATTCCATGTCTTATGTCTGGGGATATCTTGCAGAACTAAGGATTATATGATCACTTATCTAAGGACATGTAACTGATTGGGTCAGAGTTCGACAACAACTTTTGGAAGCTACAATTTGTTGATCAAATTTAGCAGGCATACTAGCAATTATAGTTACAGAATTATCCAAATGGGAGACTGTTGGATTAGGTGTCTAAGGCCATAACTATAATTAGTATGTACTTGAATTGATAGCAGCACAGTCCTTTTGGGTTGCCCTCAAACCTAGCAACTGGACTAGGAAATTATAAAAGGAGAGATATTAATTTATTATGAGATTAATAAATTAATATAAATGATTCATTAATATCTTATGAAAATGATATATTAATTAGAAATCATTATGTTTAATTAATAGTTAGCTAGAAATTAATCAGAATTAATTTTGGGGTTAAAAGTATTAATTATAAAGTGTAGGGACTAGGTTGTAATTATCAGATAGTTGAGTGGAAGGCTCTAGAACCTCTTTGGAAGGAGGTGGACGAAATCTATAGGGGAAACCCTAAGGATTTTTTCCAAGGGGGCTTGGATAAGGCCTTGGATTATCTTAGGCTCCAAGCAAAGAAGTATTAGGGTTTTCCTTAAACCATAGATCCCTCAGCTATATAAGGAGCCTCCCAGCTCCTACATTTGGTCACTCCTTCTTTGAAGAAACCTTAGGGCCGAAATGGCATACTCCCTCTACCCTCTCTCCTTCAAGTTTCCTTCTTGCTAGTTCTTGGTTGTGATTCCATTAGAGGCATTACATTTGTGGTGTTAAGCTTCCAAGAAGATCAAGATCAAGATCAAGAGGATTGTCAATTGTTTGCTATAACAATTGTAAGGTATGTAACTCCTAAACCCTAGTTTGTTATTTTCGAAAATATCCTCTCTCCTTTAGGGTTCTTGTTTGCAATTCAAAGTTATATGTTCAATAGTTAAAACATAGATCCAATGTAGGTTGCATGTGAACTTAGGAATTGTTTTCTAGTTTATTTGTTTTACCTAAAATCCATCAGCAACAACACCACAAGAAGGTCGAGGTTGGCTATTGGGCTACTCATCCGATAGCAATACAAAGACAAAAAGTAATCTAAATTATTTCTACAAAAGATATTATATTAGATGAATTAATTTCAGCCTCTTATGTGTCGTTGCCACACGAGTATGACATATCACCCTTCTGGAGATTGTTATTAAATGGTGAAGCCACGTAAAATACAAACTTCCTCCTTCTATCCATCTCAGATTGTCCTGTCATCTAATCAGTTATAATACACCGACAAATGCACGTGAGTTCTAATTTTGTTGAATGCCATGTATTTTTCTTGATTGTGATGAAAAAAAACAATTGTTTGTTTTGCATTACATGTTTGATTTCCACTAGAACATCATGGGTAAAACAGTAATTGAAAATTTTGCGATGGCATCAATTTTTTTATATGAAAGAAGGATAACTAGAGCTTCACAGTTTTTTGATGTCATTATTGAATTTTTTTTGTGGTTGCAGAATGGAGTTGGATTTTGCTTCATCATGAATATTGGTAATTAAGAAGGTTAAAGAACACCTGGGAGATATAGACAACCTTAAACTATCACTATGGAGTACCCTATTTTACAATGTCAAGGTATATTTTGTAATTTTCAGTTCACCAATGCTACTTTTCATTTTTCATCTTGGATTTTGCTGATGTAATCTAATTTTTATAGAATATGATGGAACTTGTCATATGAGAAATTAATTAAAGTTACCTATCACAACTACAAATTTGGCATGGGGTAAGAAATATTCTTCTTGAGAAATAAATTTAAAGTTTTCGGTGTTTAATTTGATTCATGATCCAGCTACTATACTAACACTTCATAATTCAAGTCGTTCTTCAACAGTTGTTTCTCTTACTATCTACTTTTCTATAAGAACTTTATTTGTGAATCTGTACCAATCTTAAAGAGAATCAAAGGTCTATAAATGTTAAAAACCTTTTTACCTTTTAAAGCATTGTACTTTCTTTTCTCGTTTAGACATCGTACATTAAGTTGCGGTTTGCACCTTCACTACTAGAAAAAAACATTACTTTTATGGCATACATTGCATGTCAGAAAAGGGTACAAATGACATGCACATGTGTGTCATTAAAACCCATGTCATAAAGGAAAATGACATGCATTTACGTGTCATAAGTTTATGACACGCATGTATAACAAATATTTATGACACACATAACGTGTCACTAAAGCCATTGTCATGAAGGAACATTGACATGCATTCAGGTGTCATAAGCTTATGATATGTGCTTACGACACATAGTTTGCGTGTAATAATTTCAAGTCAAGTGTTTAAAAAAATTATAGATTTATTAATTTTTAACATAAATGACAATTAATGTATCATAATACAAAATAACATAATATATACAAAAAATAATAATAATGAAGACAATCCATTTCATAATATATAGTATGTCAAATACAAATGATCATTCCAATGTTAAATACATGTAATACATTAACTTTTTCATGATATCAAATTAATTCCCCCTAAAAAAGTCATATCAAATTAATAAATATGTTTAAACCCATTTACCTAACACAAATGAAACAACTGAAACACGAGACTGACAAAATCCTGCATATAGTGCCTTTGGTCCTTGATTTTACATATTGGGCTCAGCAACCTCCAAGATTCAAATGTGTTTCTTTAATCCATTTTTTGGCCTATTCTATAACACCAAATTAAGTATGTTGCTTCCATTGCAAAAGATTCGGTTACCCTAGGTTCCACCTCTCTATAAAAACCTAACAGTCAGGTATGATCAAGGAATGTTTTGAAATACAGATATGTAAGCATGCTTGCACAAGAAGTTCAAAACAAAAAGCTTAAACATTACAAATTATGAAATGGGATAATAAATAACAAATATGGTACAAAATTTGAGTTTCAACTTTCAAGATTCTACTAAAAAGGGATGTCAAAGGAAATGGTTCCCCTTTATAAATTCCATTCTTCCGTTTCTCGTAATAACATTTTTTTGTCTCAATTGGTTCACTCTGAATTTAAAACCAAGGTCATGGACTCATAATTATAAAAAAGTGCACACTTGGGCATAAAAGAGTAGGACAACTAAAAGCTTAAGTAATCTAGGAAAACTCTATTAGCATTTAGAAAATCCTCAGTTTTCCTCCCATGAATGAGCCAACATACACTCTATCTAGTTTCAAATCCTTGCATTCTCGTGCTAAATCACGATTATCAGGAGAATGCAACTGCAATGTATAAAAGAATGAAACAATATATCTAACCTTTTCCACAAGCAACTCCAATTTTGTGACATCATTTCTATATTCAGAAAGAAATCTATATCTAAAGTTGAATAAGGTCATGCTTTTTACTTCTATAAATGTAAACAGTTGTAGCAACTAAATCACATACCGCCACTACAATATAATATCTTATACAAATAGAACCACAAAAAAGTTAAGAAAGTGTTCCTTCTAGCAGACACAACACTGTACTTTTATTTATTTTTGCATCCTACATTCAATTTTTCTAGAATTTAATAGTATATGAAACTATAGTAGTGAATAATGCTACGTTAGAATAGGTTTTTAAAAACACAATGCTCTAATAACAAGAAACTTATTAGAATCTATGAAAGTAGGATGTCATAATATACAAATTAATGAAAGTATAATGCAATTTCTTGTATTTAATCCTTTTATAAAGCTATTAGTAACCAAGACTCGATTACCTTGGTCTACTTAGTTCATACTTCTCATTGTCATCATCAATTTGAGATGGTCACAATCCATCTTTTCTAGAAAGACCAAATTACCCATTCTACATCACCATGTATTACTGGTCAATAATTTAAGGTTAAAGAAGTCACGCCTTGCGGCAACTGACAAAAACCATTTTTTGTTCCTAGTAGACCAATAGCAAAGATGCTATATCTTGCACCAAGGTTGAATTTGCATAAAACAAGCCAAAAATAACATAGCAATAAATAAGTATGATAATAATAGATTCTAGCTTTAAGGAAATACATTCGCAAATTTGACCATGTTAAAAGATTATATAGCTATATAAGAAATGATTGAGAGAACTAGACCATATTGACATGTGTAAACAGACAAAACAGTTCCAAGAAAAGTCACAATCCTTTACATGTTCATGTACTTCAATACTTTTCTAAATAGATAAACTAAAATTATAATCATTTACATGTTTTAAAACCAGATACTTATAACTCCAAATATTTACCAAATATTTTTATCTCTACTCTCATCATTAGTATGTCACATTTAGACTAAAACTAACTTAATTTTTCTTCAAAATTGCAATGGTCCTTTTTTTGCTAGAGTAAATAAACTTTAGAAAATAACCAATTATACCAAGTTTCTTTTCCGTGTGGCACCCTAGTGCTTATGTATAAACATTCAATGGTTGTTGATTCCAGAAAGTGAATACAAAAGAACAAATAAATATCACTCACCTGCACTAGATTCCAATCCAAATTAACAATTGTAAACCTATGAGTTTCTTTGTCAATTTCAGGAACATTCTACCCCACATATCTCCATTTAAGTTCCAAATTTTTCAACATAATCAACAACAAAGAATTAGTATAATCTTTTTTTTTGAATCAATAATCGCACAAAAATTCTAAATGGGATTCACCTATAAACCAGTGGTTTCCTCCTATGGATAAGCTTCATCGTCTTCATCTATATCCGTTGTAGTATAATCATCCATTAAATTTTCTTCACCTTCTTCTTCTTCTTCTTCTTCTTCTCTAGAGAATTTTGTTTCTTTTTTCAGCACTGATTTGGATTTAGATGATGTTCGCGTAACTGCCTTTAAAATTTTGACATCGTCACTCTTATAGTCTTCCTTCTCTTCGTCGCTTTCTACATCATCATCATCATCATCATCATCCGATTCCTCAGGTTGTTTTTTCTGTTTCTTTTCTTCATCATCCATTTGATAATAGTGTTTAAGAACACTTTATGATGAATCTCTGACTAGTTTGAAAATCACATGATGATGATGATGATGATGAGGAAGATGATGATGATGATGATGATGATGATTAATCTATGACAACAATGAAAGAAGTAGAAATATCAAATCTATAATGTTCATAGCTTTCATATATGATATACCAATTACCTTCTTCCTTTTCTCAACAACACCAAGCATTAGCTTGTGTTTCACTTTCTTCAACCACTGGTATGCAAAAGAAGAACATTCATTATAGACCATGTTAACGTGCAAACACCATTATAATTTCATTTTAAAGGAATAAATTGAGATGATGAATCAACTTACATTGCTCAAGTAACGAATTGATTGCTCCACAAGCAATAGGACAAGAACAAAGATAGTCACAACTATAGTGATAGAACTTGTTGGAGTTAAATCCAAAGATTTGGAGTCATATTTGGCATCAAAAGCCATACTTTACCACTTGAAGACCACCTTAAAACTTATCCATAAACATGCAAGGAACAAGATGAATTGATTAAATTAAAACCCTTGATCAGCTCCTCAGACTTAAACCATTTTTTAATGCAAAAGTTTCTTTTTTCCCTTTTCATAATCGTAACTTCTAAAAGTAACCTCTTGTTAGGAAAATATAACCCAAAATTGTACGAAAGAATAAAAACATAAAGTTCTTGACTGAGGCCTATATTTATCACGGTTTCCTTAAAACAAATTCGCCCTATATGGGTTTTTTGTTTCCCAGGATACAACAGTGGAAGGCAATTCTTCTAGATTGCCCGAACCCTCACTTAGCTCGGATTATACCTTTGTTGCAGCAAGAGAGAAAAGATGAAGCAGAAGCGTAAGAGATGAAGAGATTGATTTCGTTTCATTCGGTGTGTTTAACCAGTCACATAGGGATTGTATATGTACTACCAAATGTAGCCGATGTCATTAAAACGGAATCGTAACTGTCGCAATTAAATAAGAAAATTAATCAAAGAATCAAAACCGAAATCTATGATTAATATCACTTAATTCGTTTTTGTAACAGTTAACCAAAAGAAAAAAAATGCAAAAAAGGTCCTTGAACTTTTTTGGTCGACCGGTGGCGCATTTGTGTCTGCAGGACGCGCGCTCGCACACAAGTTTAGTGGCCCGAAGCCAATTTGGCTCGCATTTGCACCCCCCTGAGTGTGCGCGCAAGAGAGAGCCTTGGTTCTAATTAGTCTTACAAACATAGCTAGTCTTTGTAGTTATAAACCAATTTTTTTTCCTTCTTCCACCAATGTGGGATGAGTTTTAAAAACCCACTTGACTCCTTTATCTTCTCTTCAATTGCCTTACTTTGACAAGTAATTTCTCATTCATTTTTAATCCGTTTTGGATGTGTGATATATTGAAACGTAGATATCACGGAGGAGAACACAAATATATAATCAGTAACTTGTTTTGATTATATTTAGTGTAGTAAATTTGTGCTCAAAAATGGAGAAAATCCATTTTTGGAAATTAATAAAGTTAATTTTCCAACAATCCCCCACATGAATGAAAATTTCTTTAGTATCTACAATTTAGGTAAAATCCAGCAGTTAAATCATGCACAGGATAGGTAGGTATTACCCTTTGAACCTTCCTCTAAGATACATATTTATTTTACTAGCAGACCAGTAGACTCGATGTCCTTGAACTGTTCTGCTATTTGTGTAAATAATCAATACATGTCTCACATGATTCTCCTTGACCTAGTTAGGTTCTCATGGATGTGTCCATTTTGGTCATGGACACTTGCCTGGTTCTGTAAGAGCTCTTAGGAACTTGCACATTCAATTCCCTTTGAAGCGACCCCACTTCTCTCTCACATAGGTGATTATATCCTAATCATTAAAAGCTAAAGCTTGATGATTTCCAACTTATCACCAACTACTATAAGCTTAACATGCATCACTGTTATTTATAGGAATGGGTTGGGGTTGACCCCCACAGTGATCCACATATGTTATATGCAAGTAGGTTGTCCCATTGAACCTAGATCTTGGGATCTCCAGTCAACTAGGTTGGGTTTTCCTTCACAATAACTTATTCGTTGATGGGTTTTAATCCCATTCCTTTTGATTATTTTGCAACTAACTCCCTATTTAACCCTTTGGTTAGCAGATCCGCAATGTTATCCTTGGACCTTATGTAGTCAATTAAGCTAACTCCTGTTGAGAATAGTTGTCGAATGGTGTTGTGTCTTCGACGAAATGTGTCGAGACTTACCAATATACATAACACTTTGCGCTCATCCAATTGCCAATTTACTATCGTAATGGATTGAGATTGCAGAAACTATTTAAGACCAACCTGGTATATCTTCCAAAAAAATTCGTAGCCATTCAGCTTCTTCTCCACTTTTATGAAGTGCTATAAACTCATATTCCATGGTGGATTTAGCTATAACTGTTTGTTTTGAAGATTTCCATGATATAGCTCCACCTCCAAGTGTGAACAAAAACCTGCTGATTGACTTGGAGTCTTTAATGTCAGATATCCAATTTGCAGCACTATACCCTTCTATGACCTCGGGATATCTTGTATAGTGCAACACATAATTGCGAGTGTACCTTAAGTATTGTAATACTCTTTTAATACTCTTCCAGTGTTCAACACTTGGATTACTGGTATATCTACTTAGTATACTTATTGCAAAAGCTAAGTTGGGTCTGGTACAACTCATAAGGTACATCAAACTACCAATGATTCTTGCATATTCGACTTGTGCAAGTCCTTCACCTCTATTTTTACTTAGATGATGACTTGTATCAATTGGTGTCCTAGCTACAGTAGTATCACCAGAGTTGAACTTCTCAAGAATTTTATCCATATAATGGGTTTGATTCAAAGTAAGTCCATTTTCAGTCCTTGTGATTTTCACACCAAGGATGACATCTGCTAGACCCATATCTTTCATGTCAAATCTTGCCTTTAGCATGTTCTTTGTTGATTGAACCATTTTATCGTTGCTACCAATAATAAGCATATCATCAACATAAAGGCACAAGATAACATAACCCTCACTTGGTCAAACTTTTGATGCCATTGTTTTGGGGCTTGTTTCAAACCATATAATGACTACACTAGTTTGCAAACCTTTGATTCAATTCCTGGGGAAACATACCATTCTGGTTGTTCCATGTAGATTTCTTTTTCTAAATCCCCATTTAAAAAAGTTGTTTTAACATCTATTTGATGTACTTCAAGATTTCTTATAGAAGCTATTGCAAGTACTAATCTAATGGATGTAATACGTGTGACAGGAGAGTACGTATCAAAATAATCAAGGCCACTTTTCTGTCTATAGCCTTTAATTACTAGTCTTGCCTTGTACTTGTCAATGGTTCCATCCGCTTTCATTTTCTTCTTGAAAATCCATTTATATCCTAGTGGTTTATGTGACATCCCCAATTCCACGGCCAGAAAAGACCGATTTGTTTATGCTTGTTTTTATAAATCAGAGTGATCGTTTAAAGAAAACGGTTGCATAATTTGTTCCCAAATTAAAATATGATAACCATTTATCAAAACATTTCTCAAAGAGAATGTATTTTCATTAAATAATAAATCCTCGGGATGTCATGTTCCGATACATACCAAAAGCATAAACAACATAAAATAGACCTTACAACAGTTATTTATAACTACTGATCTATAATCCAAAACCTCTCGTCAAGTCCACCAACTTATACTCTTGTGCCATTACCTATAATGCAAAGAAAACTGAGTGGGTCAGGCTTGGGAGCCTGGTAAGCATATAGGGTTTTCAACCCACAATAGATAATTAATTTAATTTCATCAACCAATAATAACCCAATTACCCATTCCCGTTATTCTCACTTTACATCCCTAAGACAACTAACACAAGGAACCTAGTCTAAGAATATTTCATCGGGGCGACAACACATGCTTCGGGGGTTCCTCAGGAATATAATTCAAATAAGGCAACCATGAGGGGGATGGAATACAGCGAATGAACACCCAAGTTCATTAACACCTACAGGTTATGAGCCTGCTAGCGTTCCACTGGACTGTCTAGAAAAGTCCGTGGTCGTCATCTAAATTCCACTAGATGACTGATTTACAATGACATCGAGGCCTCTCATCTGTTTATCACACAACTATCTACCCATGCTCTACCCTACATATTAGTAGATAAAAATATATATATATATATATATATATATATATATATATATATATATATATATATATATATTTATACATAGTTTAAAACCTGTATAATATTCTCATTCAATACATATTCCAAAACAACAGATGAGACACATACACATAACATGTATTTCATAGAGAATAAATTGTATCTATGAGATAGAAGAAAGTTAATATACATTCACACATATAACACAAAATATACACATAACACGTATTTCGTATAAAATACTTCATAATTATGCGTTAGAAGAAAGTCACCACACACTCACTTGGTCAGAAGATGATCGGACAGCACTACGGCTTGTAGAAGTAGTATTCTTCGGTAGATCTGGTAGATCTTCACAAAAATTGGCTTCTCGCGGGCAGAGCTTCGGCTCGGGAATCGCACTTCTCAGGATATTCAGGGCCTCAGGAATGATACCGGGGCTTCGGGATATTTCTTGCACGAAAAACAATGCAAAAACGTGAGAGAAAGAAGAGAAATGAGCAAACGAATCGGATGCACTCGACTCCCTTTTATAGGGTCTGGAACTTCGAATTACGCTGGGCGTAATCTTAGGTTACGTTGGGTGTAAGCTGGATAAGCCCGGTGACTTCCCCCCTTAGATAATATCGAAAATTTATAATTAAATTTAATATCGAAAATATTAATAAATTTCAAAAAATCATATCTTCCTCATACAAACTCTGTTTTCGACGTTCTTTATATCCACGCGTAGGTGAGACTATGATCTACAACTTTCGTTAAGACTCCGTTGGCTTATTTTGAATTTATTTTTATTATTTATTTTTAGTAGGCCGGGACAGGAAAACTCCGTTATAAATTCATAACTTTTTCATCCGACGTCCGTTTTCGCCTATCTTTTTATTGTATTACTACTATTAATGAGACCTTCGATTCTCATTTACATTTTTTCGGCTAAAAACCGCTCGACCTCAAATCGAGTATTCGGGCTGCATACTGCTAAGTCGAAACTTCGAAAAATCATAACTTCCTCATACGAAGTCAGATTTGGACGTTCTTTTTATGCACGCTCACGGTTTAACGTATTATACAACTTTCATTTAGATTTCTAAGGCTAAATATCGCTCTAACGTAAATTCACTTTTTACGTCGCGTTGTGTCGTGCTGGTTCTGTCGCAAAACTTCGACAGGTCATAACTTCTTCTTTATAACTCGGATTTTGGCATTCTTTATATGTACAGAATCCTTGTAACGTATACTACAACTTAGTTAAGATTATTCATTCTAAATAATCTTC